GTCCTGAGGCGGTCCAACTACCTCACCCGTGGTGGGTCCCCCGCGTCTCTCGCGGGTTCACTTTGAGCTACGCTCTCTTTGCGCCTTTCTGCTAGGCGGGCCGCGTGCTCCACCGCGACCTGAGGCGGTCCAACTACCTCACCCGTGGTGGGTCCCCCGCGTCTCTCGCGGGTTCACTTTGAGCTACGCTCTCTTTGCGCCTTTCTGCTAGGCGGGCCGTGTGCTCCACCGCGTCCTGAGGCGGTCCAACTACCTCACCCGTGGATGGGTCCCCCGCGTCTCTCGCGGGTTCACTTTGAGCTACGCTCTCTTTGCGCCTTTCTGCTAGGCGGGCCGCGTGCTCCACCGCGACCTGAGGCGGTCCAACTACCTCACCCGTGGTGGGTCCCCCGCGTCTCTCGCGGGTTCACTTTGAGCTACGCTCTCTTTGCGCCTTTCTGCTATGCGGGCCGTGTGCTCCACCGCGTCCTGAGGCGGTCCAACTACCTCACCCGTGGATGGGTCCCCCGCGTCTCTCGCGGGTTCACTTTGAGCTACGCTCTCTTTGCGCCTTTCTGCTAGGCGGGCCGTGTGCTCCACCGCGACCTGAGGCGGTCCAACTACCTCACCCGTGGTGGGTCCCCCGCGTCTCTCGCGGGTTCACTTTGAGCTACGCTCTCTTTGCGCCTTTCTGCTAGGCGGGCCGTGTGCTCCACCGCGTCCTGAGGCGGTCCAACTACCTCACCCGTGGATGGGTCCCCCGCGTCTCTCGCGGGTTCACTTTGAGCTACGCTCTCTTTGCGCCTTTCTGCTAGGCGGGCCGTGTGCTCCACCGCGACCTGAGGCGGTCCAACTACCTCACCCGTGGTGGGTCCCCCGCGTCTCTCGCGGGTTCACTTTGAGCTACGCTCTCTTTGCGCCTTTCTGCTAGGCGGGCCGTGTGCTCCACCGCGTCCTGAGGCGGTCCAACTACCTCACCCGTGGTGGGTCCCCCGCGTCTCTCGCGGGTTCACTTTGAGCTACGCTCTCTTTGCGCCTTTCTGCTAGGCGGGCCGTGTGCTCCACCGCGACCTGAGGCGGTCCAACTACCTCACCCGTGGTGGGTCCCCCGCGTCTCTCGCGGGTTCACTTTGAGCTACGCTCTCTTTGCGCCTTTCTGCTAGGCGGGCCGTGTGCTCCACCGCGACCTGAGGCGGTCCAACTACCTCACCCGTGGTGGGTCCCCCGCGTCTCTCGCGGGTTCACTTTGAGCTACGCTCTCTTTGCGCCTTTCTGCTAGGCGGGCCGTGTGCTCCACCGCGACCTGAGGCGGTCCAACTACCTCACCCGTGGTGGGTCCCCCGCGTCTCTCGCGGGTTCACTTTGAGCTACGCTCTCTTTGCGCCTTTCTGCTAGGTGGGCCGTGTGCTCCACCGCGACCTGAGGCGGTCCAACTACCTCACCCGTGGTGGGTCCCCCGCGTCTCTCGCGGGTTCACTTTGAGCTACGCTCTCTTTGCGCCTTTCTGCTAGGCGGGCCGTGTGCTCCACCGCGTCCTGAGGCGGTCCAGCTACCTCACCCGTGGATGGGTCCCCCGCGTCTCTCGCGGGTTCACTTTGAGCTACGCTCTCTTTGCGCCTTTCTGCGCGGTGGGCCCTGTGCTCCACCGCGTCCTGAGTTGGTCCAACTACCTCATCCGTGGGTGGGTCCTCCGTGTCTCTCGCGGGATCTTTTTGCTCTAAGCTCTCTTCCCTCTCTAGGGACTCGTCCTGGGCTTCAGGGGGCGAGACCTCTTCATCACAGGCCCTCCGATGCATCTTGCGCCTTTCTGCTAGGCGGGCGGCGTGCTCCACCGCGACCTGAGGCGGTCCAACTACCTCACCCGTGGTGGGTCCCCCGCGTCTCTCGCGGGTTCACTTTGAGCTACGCTCTCTTTGCGCCTTTCTGCTAGGCGGGCCGTGTGCTCCACCGCGTCCTGAGGTGGTCCAACTATCTCACCCGTGGATGGGTCCCCCGCGTCTCTCGCGGGTTCACTTTGAGCTACGCTCTCTTTGCGCCTTTCTGCTAGGCGGGCCGTGTGCTCCACCGCGTCCTGAGGTGGTCCAACTACCTCACCCGTGGTGGGTCCCCCGCGTCTCTCGCGGGTTCACTTTGAGCTACGCTCTCTTTGCGCCTTTCTGCTAGGCGGGCCGTGTGCTCCACCGCGTCCTGAGGCGGTCCAACTACCTCACCCGTGGATGGGTCCCCCGCGTCTCTCGCGGGTTCACTTTGAGCTACGCTCTCTTTGCGCCTTTCTGCTAGGCGGGCCGTGTGCTCCACCGCGTCCTGAGGTGGTCCAACTATCTCACCCGTGGATGGGTCCCCCGCGTCTCTCGCGGGTTCACTTTGAGCTACGCTCTTTGCGCTTTTCTGCTAGGTAGGCCCTGAGCTCCACCGCATCCGGAGGCGGTCCGATTACCTCGCCCCTGGGTGGGTTCTCCACGTTTCTAGTTTCCAAAAGGCCTATTCATGCCTCTAGACTATGGCACTCAGCCTCGCAACGTGCCGTTGCTGCCACCCGTTCTGCTCTTTCTTCCGGCCTTATCGATAACCGTGCTTTAACAGTAAGCCCCATTTGAGCGCTCTCCTCTCCCATTCTGGGGCTTCCCATTCCCATTCACGGTCTTCTCGCTCGCTCTCCTTCGCGTTTTGGTAATCGATCCTGGTGTACGCGAGTTTCTCTTTAAGCCATTCTATAAAGGACAACCTGTCCACCCCTAGCAGCTTTCCAGACGAGATTAAGTCTGCCACCTCCATGTGTAGGCCACAGCAAGTTACTTTTGAGGAGTTTTCCCACAATCCAAAATCTCGTTCTTCTAGCTAAACATTCTTGCTCTCATCGCTCTCTCTCCTCTTCCTCCATGGTAGCCTCTCCACCGTGGTCAGTGCGTCCTGTCGCGGACGCCAGTTTTTGTCACAACTCAAAAAAAAATTTGAGAGAGAGTCCTTCGGGTGTGACGTTGTTAAAGGGTGGACCACTGACCGAGCGATAGGTCCAAGCTCTGGTACAGAGTCTGACCAATGAAGAGAGACAGAGCCGTAACTCGAGAACACAAAGAAACTTTAATTTAGTGCAGATAGCGGAAAGTAAATTATGATACACACACTCTGCACAAATAGCTTCTGTAATATACGGTAGAACGCTTATGAAAACAGGGTTTGCAAATCTAGGTTTACGAAGGCTTATACAGTTACTAATGAAGATGGTACGATTAACCCAATCAAAAGATTCTAATTAAAGGGCTAACAGCGAGTGCGGAAATTCTTATTTGACGAGTCGATGATCGACGTCTCCCTGCGCGGTCCGTCCAAGGTGGACGAAGTTCCGTCGGTCGGCTGGCTCACTATGGGCGGGGCTTCCTGGCCTCACACCCACTTCTTCAGCTGACACACTCACACACAGCGGAACTCCGTCCTGTACTTGGCGAAAGGCCGTCGACACTGGTCTCGTCGCCCCGCTGGTCGACACGATGCGTCCGTTCGCCTCCGAGTCTCTTCCCGCACTGCCCTTTGTTCCTCGCACCCGAACCCAGGTTCGCACACCAAGTGTGGAAACTCCCCTCCCCCAGACGGTCATTGCACTGCGGATCTGCTTTTTGGCCCTGAAAGCAGTCTGCCTTCTAAACCAAAACATTCCGTGCCGTTTAATGTAACACAACTCCACTAGGTTCAAAGACCTCATGTTATATTGTTGTGTTTGGTTTGTCTTCGGGCAGCGTTACGAGACAGCATGCCTCGTAATATTTATGCCTGTGGCCACCACAGACGCGGCCGTCTGCGGCTCCTGGCCTCGGGAGCAACCCGAGCCTCCGGTAGGACAGTCAAGAACCGCGGGCTACACGCGTTAGCCCACTGGGCCCGGGCGGGCGAGGTGAGGGGAAAGGAACCACCGAGCCGAGGTGCCGAAAAACACTTCCCGCACGCGTCGGAGAATTCGGAAATGGGGGAAGACTCCGGCAGACCAGGCGGCCGCTCACGTCGACAGACACTCCCTCTCCGACCTCCGTATACTATCCCTGCCGTTTTATGTGACAATGACCAATCTCCACCCCAGGATTCATCCGACCACGGCGTGCCCCTTATGTAGCGCCCATGCCAATTTGACCAACATCATCTAGGCATGCCCCCAAGATTCATTCCCCGACATCCCTTCTGAGGAAAGGTGGAAGGCCTTGCTTCCCAGCCCCAACCCCGGCCTACAGGCCCGCCTGGTCAAAAGGACAAAAGGGGATGCCGGAAGGCCTCGGCCGGCAGCCACCACGGAACCACCAAACTAAATCAAGGAGAAGACGTCCAGGAGAAAACGGGCCTTCGCCCCCTCGACCACCACCACCATCAGGTCCTCTATTGCCCATAACCAATTTCCTCAATCAATACAGTTTTTTTTTTCTCTCTATCTTTTTCGGGAAAGATCGAAATCATCGGTAGTACACATTTTTGCTTCGCTGACAACCCTACACACTAGATGTTTTAAAACTTCAGTCTATTCACCAAGGTGGTTTATTATTCGAGTAACCAGCAGCTGTGGTAAAGTGATATGCTAGTCACTGACATAGTTAGAAGGGCAGGGAGGTCATTCAGTTTTTTCGGCTTTTTGCGTGAACTTCCTACCTTCGATAACGCGTCGGCGGATCCTGAGTCTCGAGTCCGCACTCGCGATCGAAGTCACCATATACCATTTGCGAAGGCAACGAGCACACATGCTGCAGGCCAGTCGTCGGAAAGAAATGCCCTTGCGTTTTTATGCTGTAAGTGGCCATAAACATTTTTCGCGTATTTATAAGCATGCCTCTTTAATATAACTCTCAATGTGGGACCTTTTCTTTTTTTATTACACGCATATTATGCGAGACCTTCGTTCATCTTCATTTAAGCCCTTTTACTTCCACCCGATGCCGTGAATAAATTATGCCGTCATATCAACACGTAAAGTCTTATTTCCAGAATTTCTTGCGGGCCCCGCTTAGACCTTGTGTAAAGTTTCGTCCCTCGCTATGTCCCAGGGTGCGGCGTACGGCCACTGCGACCCCTGGCGCGGATTGTGGGCGGTGTGGCCGCCAAGCCGGGTGACTACCCGTGGCAGGTGTCCATCAAGTACAAGAGCGGCTTCGTGCTCACCCATCTCTGCGGGGGCGCCTTGCTCAACAGCGAGTGGATCGTCACTGCGGCGCACTGCTTCGAACAGTGAGTGGCCCCGTAACCCGCCGCAGAGGAACGGCGTCCATTGTGCCAAACTACTCGGGAGGATATCCTACCATCGCGCCCCTAGTGCCTAAGTTGAGGACTATAAACCCATGGGAATGACTACCGCCTGAATCACTGATCTACACTGGATGGCGCATTGAGCAAGCGGGTATTAAAGCCCCTCGATATGTTTGCGTTAGCGGGTATATATGAAGCCACCGAAAGCAAGCGGCTTGTCCCAGAATTGAGCACTTGACAGGTTTTTCGACTCTTGCGAGTGCTCGTTCAAGGAGAATCCAGGGCGCTGGATTTTTTGCTTGTCACCCCAAGAGAGCCTGCTTGTTGCAACTAACAGCGCAGGCAGATGGCAACCCATTTATTGTGAATATTTTGAGACTCTGGTAAATCGAGTGTGCATATATGCCACGTTGGAATGCCTCGTTCTTGGCATATAATTCGAAACGGAAATAAACCCAACTCACGGGATTATTAGAACCTATATTTCAAAACTGGATTATTAAAACCACAGCGTCAAATGGAAATGGCCGCCGTGGTTGTTGGGTTGGTGACGTCACCTGCCCAACGCGAGGCGTCCCCTTGCACGCACTCAAACACTCACTTGGCTCTCTTGGTGTATCGGGTCCTTCAGCTTCCTCGTTCGCCTTCCATGTTTCGAGCATGCGGTTCGTGACGATTACGTTCACGGCACCCATCGCTTTGTCGAAGTCTTCGGTACTGATTGCAGCAGCGATGAGAGGAGTTGTTATCACGAAATCCTGGAAGCTGATCATCTTGACTCCGACCTGCAGGCGTCCAGCTCCAGCGACGACGAATCACGGACAAACTCGCCGTGGCCGCCGTCGTCCGTGACAATCTCGCAGGTGCATGCAGGATGGAAGGTCCAAGAGCCGGGGGCGAGAGCAACAATAGCGTTGGAGTAGCCGAGCTGCGTGAGCGGCTTTGATCGTAACGTGGGGAGCCGAGCTTAGGCGATCATGGGTGCGCCTAGAGTGAGAGAGCGTGCATGATCAGGTAATCTATAGGCAACATGCTTGGATGGATGGATGGATGGATGGATGTTAATGGCTATACCTTTTGTAACGAAGACTATTCCAGCTTTAACGAAGACTATTCCAGCACTGTCAGACTGAAAAGGCAGAAACTTTGGCACAGCGCCTCTGAAGACAGGAAGAACGGAAAAAAAGTCGCATTGGTTTTTGATAAGTTGAAGGTAGACAGTGTTATCTATGCCTGGGACGAAGTTACGGGTCAGCGTTTCAGAGTGAATGATAGGGCGTCTGGCCGTGTGACAGAGGCTCATGCTGCTGTACAGGAATGACAGGAGCGCATTGATAAGTTTCGGTTATTAAATGTTAATGCCCGCAGTATTGTCAACAAGAGTAGTGATTTCGAACACATTCTGATTGAGCATCAACCCGATGTCGTGGTGATGACCGAAACGTGGCTGCATCCCGCTATCCTCGACTCCGAAATTTGTCCGCCTGGATATAACGTGATAAGAAATGACCGCACCAGTCGAGGGGGAGGCGTGGCCATCTTCATTGATAAAAGAATAAAGTACTCGGTGCTACAGAGTCCACCTGACATAGAAACAGCGTGGTGTAAGGTGTATCTAGGATCCCAAGAATTGGTTATTGGTGCTGTTTACCGTTCTCCAGGAGTAGGTGTGGATGCTGTTAATAAATTAGATGACTTCCTGCTCCACTTGCGCGTACAGCACAAAAATGTTGTAATTGCGGGAGATTTCAATATAGCGGGTGTACTGTGGGATGAAATGTTGCCTGGAACGCGGGAACGTGAAACCGCCACTGGGATCCTAGATTTATGTTTTTCCCATGGGCTAAAACAGGTTGTTCGAGAGTATACACGCATTCAGGGCAATAGTAAGTCAGTTCTCGATCTCGTATTTTTAAGCGAAGGGGTTGCATCTCGACCGTACGAAGTTGAACTTTTCCCGGGTTTTTCAGATCACCTGATAGTTAGCGTGATCATGACCTTGACGCCGTTTAGAAAAACGCTCAGACCCGTTTCGTCCTACAGAGACTTCGGCATGGCTGATGACACGGCTATTTTAGACGAACTAGATTACCACTATGGACCGTTTGAGGAACTTAGTCGTGAGGAGTCAGTAAGTGTTAATGACCTCTGGTTGAAATTTAAAACACTCGTTCATAAATGTATAGACATGTACATACCATTGAAAAGAAAACGTAAACGAATGCATAATCCTTGGGTGACGAGAGAAGCCATTCACTTAAAAAGAAAAATAGGGCGGCGCAGATTGCGGTGTCGTCGTACACCTAGTTCGGCGTTATCGGATGATATCTCGGCTTTAAGCATGGCGCTGAAATCTGTGCTAAAAGAATCTAAATGCAAGTTTTATAACGTGACAATGCAAAAGTTTATCCGTGAGTCACCGCAAAAGTTTTGGAGGCATTTGGCACCAGCTAGGAAGTCAGTTACCGAGATCAAAACGGAGCAAGGAATTATAAATGACAAGCGAGAGATTGCAGTTCAATTCAACGAGTTCTTTGCAAGCGTCTTCACAAAAGACGATAAGCAGTCTGTAGATTTTAGATCACCAGCTCAAATTCCACGGGCTGATGATGACCTGCAACTGTCAGTTGAGGGTATTTTGGCTCTGTTGCTTGACTTAAAAACTTCCAAATCCACGGGGCCGGACGAAATTCCAAATTCTTTTCTAAAGCGATATGCAGAGTGGACGGCAATGTATCTGCACTTAATTTTTAATAAGTCGATTATGACTAGCACTGTACCCTATGACTGGAAACTCAGTAAGATAATTCCAATACTGAAAAGTGGAGATGCTATGTCAGTATGCAATTATAGACCTATCGCGCTAACGTCTACATCGTGCAAAGTTCTTGAGCATATTGTTTCTAAACACATCCGGCAATTTCTTTTATCGAATAACGTTCTCAGCCAGTACCAGCACGGTTTCCGCAAGGGGCTGTCAACGGTCACGCAACTAGTAGAGACCATGCATTATTTTTGTGAGGTATCGGATCGTAAGGGACAAACAGACATCATATTTTTAGACTTTAAGAAGGCGTTCGACAAAGTTAATCATAGAAAGCTCTTAATTAAATTGATTTCCATCTTGGGAGATAATAAGATTGTTCGGTGGATTGAGGCCTTTCTAAATGATCGTCGACAGTTTGTAAGTATTGATGGGGTTAGCTCGGACGAATGTGATGTGAACTCGGGTGTTCCACAGGGTTCTGTCCTGGGTCCCCTGCTGTTTTTGGTTTTTGTTAATGACCTTATCCAAGATTCACCTGTAAAAGCCAGATTATTTGCCGACGATTGTATTATTTATACTGAAGTGACGTCCGTTAATGATCAAATTATGCTAAACGAATATTTGTCTCAGATCAATGAATGGTGTGTTAAGTGGCAAATGTCGATAAACTTAGACAAGACAGTATGTATGACGATCACTCATAAACGACAGCCGTTAGAGTATATATATATATGCTGCAAGGAAAGGCCTTAAGCCGAGTGTCAGAGTTTAGATACCTTGGTCTTACAATGGCCTCAAACCTAAGTTGGACTCCGCACGTTAGCAATATAATCGGAAAAGCTAACAAAAGATTAGGGTACATCAGGCGCACTCTTAAACTCGCTTCCCCAGAAACAAAACTCACAGCATACAAGATGCTAATAAGGCCTTTATTAGAATACGCATGTGAAGTCTGGGACCCGCATGTTAAATATCTTATATCAAATCTGGAGCAAGTTCAACGGCGTGCGTTACGTTTTGTTTTTTCTAGCTATAGACGGCTGGACTCTGTGTCACCTCTTTATAAAAGGGCAAATCTACCCCTCCTTCAGGTGCGGAGGAAGCAGAAGTGGCTTAACCTTTTTTATAACATAATGAATAACTTGGTTCTAGTAAATAAGCAACAGTATATTAAGGAGAGCATGTCGCGTATAACCCGCAGCAAGCATGCTCGATATGTGGAAGAGCGGAAGTTTTCTAAGGACTGTTTTAGGTATTCGTTCTTCTTACAAACAGCGCGAGACTGGAACAAGCTACCCGCACATGTTGTTACCGCTGAAACTCGAGAAGAGTTTAGTTCCCTTATTTCAGAGATTTCTGACAGCAGTACCTAGAGTTGTCATTTCATCATTGTGTTAAATTCGTGTTATTAATCTGTGCATTTTGAGCGTGTGTATTTTTTTTTTGTGTTGTAAAAAATCTACTCCTATCTTGGTCCTGTGTAGGACCGATAGTATTTCAAATAAATAAATAAATAAATAAAATAAACGGGCGGTAGCTAGCGCCGCCTAGCATAAGTCTAAAAAGACAAACATATGATTCCTTCCGTCCTTCCTAAGCCAATTTCTCCCCCTAACCATCACCAGGCAGTATGGTATATCACCAGAACGATCTTTAGGAATCGGGCAAAAATGCAAACAAAAAAAATCACCACCCGTCTCTTTCCTTCGGCGAGGGAGTCGCACTTTTCCCCTGGTCAAACCTTGTCGTCGTTACCCCACTACCAGACCCACTGGGGGAAAGGGTTGAGACCTTAGGCCGGAGCCACGCGAGAGAAAGTCCAAATTTTCCTCTGTCCCGCCTGTCCCCAGTTGTGCTAGTTAGTTATGCATCATTCAACTTTCCCTAGATAATTTCCACCAATCTTTTAATAGCCTCTTTGTCACCAATCCTTTTCTGTTTCGTCCTTCCATCATCGCCAGCAAACCCCAGGGCCCTGGCCAAATCTGTTAGCCCTTCAGAAATGGCACAGCGAAGCCCCGTGCACTTCAAAACCAAGTGCTCTAGTGTCTCCCTCTCATTGTGGCAGGTAGCACATAATGTGTCTGTCTCCTAAAATTCTAAAATTTAGCCCTATACGTCCTTGTCCTGAAAACTCCCGCTCTCACCTCAAACAGTAGGCAACTTCCCTGTGAATTGTCAAGCACATTTTATTTTCTACTGTCCTGTTTTTGTGTACTGTATATTGTTAGAGGTGATTTTTCCTGCATTCTTACCTCTCTCATTTTCCGTTCTGGCTCTTTCACTCTCTTTCACTGATATACTCTGCTGAGCCCCATCACTAGTGTGTAGGTATTTAAATGTAAGCTTTTGGGTACGGTTTGTCCATTTTGTGTGCAAACGTTTTATGAATAAATGCTCGAATACCTTCCGTGCCCATCGCGTATAATCCATTTCGGTCTACCTTCGTAGAAATTTCAAATTTCTAATTGCCTCCCTGCTCTCAAAAGACGACCAGCCCATGTTCCCTGTACTCCCTCATTGGGTGTCTTTCCATGTGCTTCCGGTGCCAATCTGCCTACGCTTCTTTGTCGAATTTAAACTCCTGATAGAACTTCTGATTTCATGCCTAAAATTTTATTTCCAAAGGACAGCCCTGGTACCATCACTCCTTTTCATATACCTCTGACCACTTCATATTTACAGGGTGATTTTTTTTAAGCTTTACAGATTTGATTTTAAAATGTCGTGAAAGTTACACTTATGTGGTTTCTGCAGGTGAGTTATACGGCAAGGGGGACATTATGTGGGTGGATAATGTTTGCGATAAGTCGGCTAATAATTAAAATTTGTTAAATAGCTTTTTAATTTGTGAAAATAGGGGAATGGTTCCAATAGAAACTTAGAGAGCCTCGTCGAAAACCACTAAATCAACTCTTTTCAGAACGACTTGAAGCTTGTGGGAAACTCGGGGGCGCAGCAAAGTTACCACTCGTGAAGCAGGTGCAAAGCTGGCTGTGGCGGAACGCGATGATAATCTAATCACCTGCGTTTTGCCACTATCAGCTTTGCGCCTCCTTCAGAAGTGGTAACTTTGGTGCGCCCCTGAGTTTCCCTCGAGCTGCAAGTCGTTCTAAAAAGAGTTGATATAGTGGTTTTCGATGACGCTCAGTAAGTTTCTGATTGGAACCATATGTCTATTTTCACTAATTGAAAAGTTAATTAACGAATTTTAATTATTGAGCAGACTTATCGCAAAGATTAGCCACCTACATAATGTCCTTCTGGCCGTATAACTCACCTCCACAAACCGCTTAAGTGTTACTTTCACGGCTTTATTAAACAAATATGAGAAGCTTTAAAAACAAACACCCTGTATTTTAGTTCTATAGTTTCGTGAGCTTCATAATTGATTAACTTATTTTCCCTTTTCTAATTATATTCTCCTCGTGTTCTTTTAGATATCTCCTTCCTTCATTGAGCCAAACTCCCATATATTTCTATTTTCGTGCATGGTCCATTACAATGTCTTGTATCCTCAGGGGTTTCCCCTTTTCGTGGTGTGACTAACTCGATCAGTGTTGCCTGGTCGCCAGACGACAATGATCAAAATTCGTAGCTTAATTATTGCAATTACTGGAGCTCTAAAAATCGCAAAACTTCGTGTTTATACTAGACCAAGTATTAGGCTGTATAAGCATACACACAACCCTTTTTTAGACTACGTAGCTTATGAGCATTCCATTTTGAGGAATAATTTACCCGTTTAATTTTTGTGTGCTAACGGTCTCACGACGCCGAATTGTTATTTTTAGTTACTATAATATTAAACTTGTTTTCGATATACACGTTTGCAAACATAGCGTCCAGACTGGTGCCCCACGCGTTAAAGCACGTGCAGGATGCATGCGAAAATGTCTTTGCCAAGCTTGCGATTTCACGTGCTTCCTCACACCAGCAGGAACATTGCGGCGGCCAGAGGCCTTGTTTGTTGTATATGAAAACAACTGACGCTTGCGGCTTTGGTGGGCCTTAAAGCGGTACTCCACGGGATTTTTATTGTCTCCGATTTGCTCCAAATTTTGCTAAACTCACCAACAAACATCGCTAAAATAGTATCCCGTATATTAGGTCAAAATATTGCCTTTTCCGCGGAGGTATTGAATTTAAAGTTTTGGTCCTCCCCGTGTTTTTCAGACTGAAAGCCTCTACTGGCAACAATGAAAAAGTGACGTCAGGGGAAGGCAGGGGCTCACTCTTTGGGCTGTAGATTTTGTTCCCAACTGATTACAAGCAGTTTCATGGTGTCAAATGAATGCTTTGGAAGCTCGTTCCAGTACCCGCACTCCAGCACGGAAAAACTGATTGGTATATTTTATTTTTTAGCCTACTTGCTCGACTGACAAGCCTGACTGCCACTGACGTCAACGCACTGAAAAGTGCGGCTATATTTTAATGTTGGTTTTTGCATCATTTTCAGTTGCCGATTTCACAATAACTATTATAAATTTCGCGATACTAAATAGCATACCGGAAAGGGTAAAGGCCGAAAAGTCAGAAAATATTGTTAGTTGAGGTAGCTAAAAAAAATCCTGTGGAATACCCGTTTAAAGCAAGAGTAACTACATTCCTTGCAGTCGACTCAACCTCTCGAGGTATATTTTCCGGTTCGGGGACTTTAACAAGAGTGCTGTTGACGAAGGCGAGGTGGACGTCAAAGGCGACAAGGTAAGTTCTAGAAGGATCACAAGTCTATGCACGTTTTGTAAGATGAGCCGAGAGCGTAGTTATTAAGCTATTACTTCAACCTCTTATATTTTTAATCTTTATTATTTTTAAACGAGAAATCCCACAGCCCAGGGGGTGCGGTGCAGTCAGTTTAGTAAAAATTAAGAGGGCGTTTTTTTCGTGTTTCATTGAAAATTCGTCGTTTAGCGAAGTTTATTTCTGCTTCGTTTCCAATTTTTCGCAACGAGGCGTGAAACGAAATTCAAGTTTTGCTGTATCGTCAATTGCTCAGAATGCAGAATACACAAATTCCGCATAAGATCTCATAAATATACAGTATAATTGTGAGCAATATTTACCCGAGCATAGCACCATACACGTTTTAAAGCTTCCTGAAGTAGATTAATGTTCGCTGTAATAAGCGTATTATTGGGCAGGAGATCGAACTATAGGGCGCGCTTTATCGAGCGTGTTGTCCACACTGCCCGGTGCTTATAGCCGATTCACACGACAGACCGAATCGCGATTTTCGTCCGCGGACTGTGTACCACCGTGACCGGCACGTCATCGATTCCTGCGATCCGCTCCTCGTCCGCGGATGCGCGGACTGATAAAATCGAGCGCCTTTTTTTACTCGCGGATTTTCGGCGGGAGATTGACTTGAAAAGCGTTTAGTCTGGCAACAGTACAAGGTTTTCTTGCTGTTGTTTTATTTTGTTTCTGGGCGATTAAAACAAAAATGGCGCATTCTTGTGTTTTGTGCGTTTTCTAGTTCATTTTGTCGCGCGATCCTTGGTTCCACGCGTGAAATAAACTGCAGAAACTTTGTCCGGCTGCCGCAACGCAGGTTCCGGTACTCCTACGGGTCCGTGTCAAGAAGCTCCCGTCAAAACTCATCTAGCACGCCGCGATAATTTGAAAAGTGACTTCCACGGTGGACATGCTTATGTTACTCTTTGTTTCAACTCTAGAATTGCCAGAGCTGTGGGAGCTACTCGCAACCTTTCAAACGCGTCCCTCTCATCACCTGGCCGCGCTCTCTGTACGTGATCACGTAGCCAAATAATGACGTATGACTGGTACAAGGAGGACGTAGTTTCCACGGCACTACCTGCTTGAGGGTGAACAGAGCTCCTTCGCGAGCGAAAAATGCTTAAAGGGGCCCTCCGGAGCGTTCTGCGATGGTCTATTTATGACGGTAACTCAATCTACAGGCCCTAAGGATCCTAAAAATCATAAAATTACGGTAATGCGCGGCGGATTTCCCTATTAAAATTGCTATTAAAGTTCCCGGCACGCCCCCCTTCCTGAGATGACCCCGGAAAGCGGGAGGGGCATCTCTTTACGCGTCAGCCAATAGCAAGCGAAGAATTCCGGCGTCACTGTGCGTCACCAACGCGGCCGACCGCCGACCCGCGGAGGAATCTCTCGAACACGCGCGGACCGTGACTTTGTGCTCGGCAGTCGTCGTTCGTCGCACCGCACCGTCGCGCTGCTACTGCAATACGCAGTCGCATTCCACAGATGACAAGGAAACGTTTGACTCGTTGACGTGGAAGGATCGCAAAGCTGGCTTCGGAGTCGGAATCCACGGGAAGAAGGAACACGTGTCTCGCAAACGCACTCCTGCACACGCCCCGGGAAGCAGACGAGCCGACGCGCCGACGCATCATCCCATAGCAACAAGCTTGCGGGGAGAAAACATAGTTCGCTGGTTTTGGAGCGATAATTGCTGACTATGTTTCCCGCACCACAATCAGTTTACGTTTTTCTAAAACTCTAATTTACAATACGCTTAAAAAGTGTTGCAATAATAACATTCGCATTCACCGCGAGATGCAGCATTTCCATTGGTCAAGTTTTAGCGATGGGCAGGGAATGGGGGATTATCTTCCAAGCGAAAATAGTCCCGATATATTTCTACTGCGATCTGCTTAATAAACGGTTTTGTAATCTAAAAATTTGTATACAAATGAACTTGCACCTACCACGCAATATAACAACATAAACAGACGATCTCACGAAGCTTCGGAGGGCCCCTTTAATGCCCCCCTCCCACCCTTAAAAAATAATACTTTTTTTGTTCTGCATGAATAAGCTTTGCCGAACGTTTATTCTACGCGCAACTGTTTCACTACCGGTCTGATCAGATGGCGAGGTTTCAGAACTAACCATTACCTCATTCAAAAGTTACACGCGACTTTCTGAAGTTTTCACTGATCAAGTGGAACACATGGAGCTGAATGGCGTTAGTTACCGAAAACAGGCCCCAGACTTTTGAATAAAGTAACGGTTAGTTCTGAAACTTCGGCATTCAGTTCAGAGTGCGGGCGCTACATTAAAGTAGAAAATGAGCTTTCAGCAAATCGTAATTTAATTTTTTTTTTAAAAGGGGGGGAGGGGCAAGTCGATTGTGGAGCAAGTCGATTCGTTGTATTGAGCGAACGCAAGCAATAAAGGTTCGTTCCCGCATCTGCGTTTAATTACTCTTTTTGCGGTGCGTTATGAGTCACTTGTACACCCGTGCGTCGACTTTCGCTTGCAAAGCTGCTCTTTGAGTTGGTTGCCACGCTCCGTATACGAAGCACGAATATCCTCGTGATTCTCGAAGCAAGCAGACTTAAGCTCCCGTTACTTAACGAAACGTAAGGAAACGGTACCGTGTGAACCGGCCTCGAGCGATACCACCTCGAAGACAAGGCCTGCGCATGACGTCATCGTTAAGCGATCGCCGACCCGCCCCAAGCGGCAATCAACGTTACTAGATTACCTCAGTTGTGGAACTCCCGCGGAAGGGGGTACGCCCCTCACTCACTTCAGTCCGCCTGCGTCGTCCGAAGCGCCATTTCGATTTTCGTTTCATAAGTGTGCGTTCCATAGAGCAGAGCTGAAACGCCATCTAGACGCCGTGCTTCGAAACGTACCAACATTACTAGAACCACTTAGTAGGGAAACTCGCATAGGGACTGCTCTGAAATAGTGGCACCGATCCGTAATCGAGAACCGAGCTAATGGCGATCCCAACGCCGCCATCTCTCCCGCAGCGGCCACTCAAGGAACTGCACGTGACATCGAATTAGGGTTTAGTCGGCCATTTCGGAGCCGAAACAGATGCGGTGGAAGGGGTTTTAGGGGTGCCACCTTCGTTTCCCAAGCGGATGCGCCGCGAAATACTACGGAAGTTAAAATGCGCCTAGGTCGGGACGCGCTACATGAAATCAACGCTGAGGCATGGTTGTATAAAAACAATATTAATTGTGCTGGAAAACTTTGCAAACTAAATATTTTAGAAAACATCACGCGCCCCTTATTTTGTACGAAACTCCAATAAAAGTTACTACAAAAAGAGTTTTTTCCGTTGGTTTTTACTCAAAAACATGCTTTTTAAAAGCGCAAGGTGACCAAAGTAAAGACAACTGTTAAAGAGTGGCGCTGCTGTCGTATTTAGCCCGGTCTCGATGGACGCCAGCGGCCCAGGTTTCAACGGTGAGTTTACCAAATGAGGGTTCTAGTAACCTTGTAACGTACGTACCCCGATTCCCATAGAATACACTGCAGTTACCAAAGCAGCCGTCCGGCGGCGCGTTTCGGCTCCGAAATGGCCGACTAAACCCTAATTCGATGTCACGTGCAGTTCCTTGAGTGGCCGCTGCGGGAGAGATGGCGGCGTTGGGATCGCCATTAGCTCGGTTCTCGATTACGGATCGGTGCCACTATTTCAGAGCAGTCCCTATGCGAGTTTCCCTACTAAGTGGTTCTAGTAATGTTGGTACGTTTCGAGCGACGCCAGGCGAGTCGTGGTGAGTGAGGGGGGGGAGGGGGGGAGGGGGGCGTACTGTTCGTGCATGCAGCCTCTATGAGCAATTCTGTAACTGAGCTAATCTAATAACGTTGGAGGCAACCACACCGAAGCTCGACAGCAGACGCCGCACAGCGGCAGACGCGTCCGTCTCGCCGACGCTGCCTGCCAGCGTCGCGCTCGTTTTGAGACGCTGTGAGACGCGCTCACGGCGACGCTGAAGCACGCTAGGTGACGCTGCGTGGATTCACTAGTGATGACGTTTGGGGGACACATGCCGCGAGCCTTGTCTTTTGGTGTCCTAGGTGTTATAGTCTGAAGTCCCTTTGGTCAGGCATCCGGGGTCAGGAAAGAAAGGACGGGGTGGCCTCACTTCAGGACCGATCGTGTTATCCGCGTTGTGTGCCCAGCTGATCATGCACCCGGACTTCGACGTGCGTACGTTCCGCAACGACATCGCCTTGGTTCGGCTGGCGACGCCGCTGGACCTGGAAGGTGCGAACTCGAACCTCCAGACCATCTGCCTTCCGGATCCCAGGATGGACTTCAGGCGGGCCAGGTGCATGGCGACGGGCTGGGGAGAAACGTCGTTCCGTGAGTGGGGCAGCAGCATACTCAGTTTCACTGTTTTATATATCGTTCACTTTTTAATTTATTTATCTTTTTGGACAGGGTTAGAAACAGGGGCCAGTACATGGCTCTCGTCGCCTTTCTGCGTTTTCCATGAACGACTAAACAAATCACGCACAAAAAAAAACACGCAGGGTCACGTTACATTTACTATGCGTGATTAGTTTAGATGGTGAACAAATGCGCAAAAGACATGAGCGCCATGACGATGGACTTTTGGCGCTGTTTGATTGGCTCTATCAGATCCTAATGTCAGCTGCAGTCAAACTGAAAGATTATAAGGGGTGCTTGTTGTTGTTTTTGTTGTTGTTTTACTGATGTGTTTCAATAAAACCGTGAAAGCTACTCCAATGCAGTCCCTGCAGGTTGGTGATTCGGCAAGGGCAATATATTATCGTGGGCCAATAGTCAAAATAATTCAGCTATTTAACTAAAATTTGGTGATTAACGTCTGAATTAGTAAAGATAAACACATGTCTACAATTACAAACATGCAGAGCGTCATCGAAAACCACTAATTAAGTCAAACATGAAAGGTTTTGGGGACAAAGCCGGCTCTGTGATAACACGGGTGATGAGAAACGAAAAAACCTCGCTGGCGTGCTTTCGCACCCGCAGTCTTAGGCCCCTTGCGCGAATGGTAACTTTAGCGCACGCCAGCGCTTCTTGAGTGCTCCTAATCTTTCTCAGATATTGAAAATATCTGAGAAAGATATTGAGAACAATATTGAATAAAACTTTAGTTATTTATCTTCCTTATCGTAACAGTTAGCCCCATATACTGCGTCTCCCTGGCCGCATAACTCACCTGCACAGACCGTAATGAAATAGCTTTCACGTTCTTTTTTTTTTTTTTTTGTAACGTTACAAAACAAAAGCCGTATACTTATAATACCCATGTCCCACTAGAGCGACATACAGAAACAAAAGACAAAGACAAGCCTCAAACCAGAGTCTTTCGCGATTTGAGACGCTTTGTAGAGTACGGAGGCTATGCTCAAACACGAGCATCATGCACGCGAGGGTATCTTTGGCAGGCTTCCAATCGCTCGTGCTTACTCGCGAGCACCGAACGACTAAACACCTGTCAAAGGTACCATCACGAGCATGCTGCATGGGTTGGAGGCTTTTCGCTGTCTTTTGTCTCTGTCTGTCGCTCTAGTGGGACACGGGCATAAGCCGTGGATTTATGATGCCTTGAATCATTATGTTTTAGAAATATTTTCGCGGATAGAAACGGATTGACGAGCGTAAAACTGACAATAAAGGTATAATCAGCGAACTTGTGCCAGAAACAAAAAAGAGAATGAGCGTCGGAAAAGCAGAAGCGGGCGTCGCAGCGTCCACATGGCAGGCGACTTAAGCGAGACTGTGAGAGAGAATGAGCCGCAAGGTCACGCTCGACTTCTTATTTACTACCATAGCTTCCTCTATACTTACAAACCTGGCAGTTCGACGACGGAGCCATAGTGCCCGGTCACAGATTTGGAGCGCGAGGATCTGGTTGCAGAGTGCATTTCTCGGGGAACTTAGAGTTCCTGTATAGGCTCCCTACCGTAGGTAGCTCTACAGGAACTCTAGGGGAACCCGGTCGTCAGCGCACAGCTTTTGCAGCGGTGACGACCCGAAACGTGGTTTTCAAACCCCACGAGAAAAGAAGAAGTAGCGCGAGGAGCACGAGCGAACGTTCCATCACTCGGGAAAAGAGTGTTTCGGCGCCTCGCCGCAGCGGGGTGCCCGTTACGTGGCTCTCCTCTCATCCGTTGTCTGCCGCTCTACATTTTCAATTTCGGCGGCCGCGTTTCGTGGCGATCTGCCAGGCTTTGTTAGTATAGAGGAGGCTATGCTACTACATTTGGTACCTCAAATATTCGACCTAGAATGTTCGGGAGTGAGATAGGGCGAAACTGACCCGGCATAAACACGTTGCCCCCTTATCTTTTACACACGGAATAAGAGTAACCTCAAATATTTTCAAAGTACGGTGAAGCGTTCCTTCTCGGTCTTGCAAGTCGCAATATAGCAGACGGAAGTGGATTTGGCGAAATATCGAGAAAGTGGATAAGGCTGAGTTTGTCGTGCAAAACAAACAATTACGAGTTTTGGAAAAAGAAAGAAAGAAACCCCTTCCTGCGTGTTTTGCGAATAAGCGCGTGATGACAGCGAGCGTTCCCCTGATTTCTTTTCCATCGTCAAAACTGTTGTTCATTGCGCACGATAGCTTTCTTTAGCTGACGACGTGTGAATGCCTCCTATGACCAGCGAGTGTTCGTCTTTGGCGCGTAGAAACGCCAAAGACGTAACATAAGAACGCACAGGGAAAGCGCGATGGCGAGGCTATAAAACCGAGGCAGCTCAGCTCGTGCCGCCATTTGTTGAGGTCCGGGCACGATGGGTCAGGGGGAAACAAGAGCACGTGCGACGCGTTAAACGAGTAAACAAACGCCTAAAATTCGCCAGAAGCAAACGAACTTGCACGAAACGTTTCGGGGTTAGTGTTAGCTTTTCCCAAGGGTCATGCTAACGCATTCCCTAAAGATCCACCAATAGATCTTCCTTTAACATTTTTCCGGCGAAGCGGGCTTGCCGAGCCCGCTTCGGCCCAGGTTCTGTCGCACGCAGCCCCGCGTCGGCTTGCCGCTTCTTGCGTCACATTTTGGCTAAAGTCATTGGATGCCTGGAAAGTAGAGCTATTGCCTTCCCTAACTGCTAGCCGGACACAAACAAATACTAACATACAGATAACCAAACCTTCGCAAGGCGATTGGCTAATCTGTCTACGTTGCCATGGAAATCGCCATCTCTGTCCATTCAAATCTTCGAAGCTTCCAGTGGGCCGTTCTAAACCATTCGCGCCAAGATCACAACGGAGCATCATCGTACTGGAAGCGTACCTCGCCAATATAAGCGTCTTTGTCACTGTTTATGCAATCAACTTGTCAATCGTGCCCATCTCCACGGATCTCTTACAGTTGAATTGTTCTTCTTGAGTATTTAAAAAAAAAGTCAAATGATTTTTCCGTGCCTCCAAGCACCGCGACGCGGCATGTGGTGGTGATAGGAATATGTACGCTTGTTTCGCCGGTAGGTGGATAGCGAAATCTCGGTATACAAGAAACATCTCCATAAAGCTACCCGTCACCAGCGAGTTTAGATTAGCTCACCAAGAACCGAAGGGTCAAGGAGAAATCGCTCATTTAACGGACAGAGATGGCGACCATACGGGGAGCTTGGCGCTACTTTTCCAGGATCCGGTGACTTTAATTTTGGCCAGCCGAGCTAGGCGCTGTTTCCGCTCCTCTGTCTCGTACGCCCGCCTCGCACGCTTAGCGGCGGCCTCCGCTGCCTGTCGCTGCATTCGTTGTTCATTGGTTTCCCGCGCGCGTATTGGCTTCCGCCCCGTGACGTCGCCTCCCTCTCGCCTTTGTCCTTCACTGCTCTCCTCCTCTCTCAAGCGGCGCGCTCCTCTTTCCACTGTTCTGTCCACAGATGAACGCCGTCAGCTTTTCGTCGTCATGTAGGCACTAACGCTAGCGCATTAAACAAAAAGTTTATAAGCAACTTTTTTTAATGCTTCACAAAAATCAAGGAAGACGCAATCAACCTGGGACCCCAGATCAAGAATGGAAAGCAGTTGAATGGGGAAAGTGAGAAGTTGGGTTTCGCAGGACATATATTTCCGAAAACCATGTTGTGAAGGTGAAAAAAAGAAGAATTAAGAGTCTAACATTTAACAAGATGAGAGTAAATTATATGTTCTAAGACTTTATGTTCGTCACCTAATTTGTGAAATGGATCCATCTGTTTTATTTTCCAATTCTGGCAAGACATCCAAAAATTGAGACAAAATGTTTTGTATACTTTATAAATTTTGACGTAATTTCATCGACGCCCAACGAAGATGTTTGTTTTCTAATTATTAGTCAGTTTAACGAAATTCTGTCATAATCAAAAACAAGTGCATCTATGTGAAAATGGTCACACTCTGGATATAATTAATTATCAGAGTTAGTATCACTAATAAACGGCTCAGCCAAAACATTGTTTAAATCAGATGCGCACTGCTCTTTTGGAACGTTAACCCCTCTATCCCTGTGAGAGGTGGAACATTGTTTTTTTTGCCGAAATTACTTTACTTTTTGATAACATAGAATGTCGGGTTGCATTAAAAAAGTGCATAGCTAATAGCTTTCATAGCTATTATTCTAGCTATTACAGCTACATTTGATAGCTATTATATCTATATTTGACAGTTATTATAACTATATTTATTATAGCTATATTTGATAGCTGAGCCGCCTTGATAGCTAATTTATTAGCATCTGCAGTTGTTTTATAAGCTTCCCAATGTGCCCCAAAGCCAGACGACCTCGCGGTACAGAAAAGACGTTTTTCTTGTAAGAAAGGCGTTGAGTACAACATTAAACCAGGAAGACAAATGGTTACAAATAATATTCTTACACGGAGCAAACGAGGCGATTCGAGGGTTTATTTTTAAACATACTCCAGTTAGGTTCAATTGAATGTTCTGAAGAGCAGAAAACCATAAAGGAAGCCAGCAAACTCACTATGTATTGCAATAAAAGTTTTCAATTTCTTTTTCTTTTTTTTCAAGATTGCATTAAAACACAATTTTCTATAGTTGTATTTGAAGAACACGCTGAAGCATGTAGGATGAAGTACAGGGTGGCATGATCGCTAATACCCGCTAGATAAGTTTTAGAAGATGCGAGATGGAAGTCAGTGGAGTACTAGGTACATTCGCTGTAGTATCAGTAATTCCAGTAGGGCTTAACGGACGACGACGACGCTTGCGGAAGGACGATCGTTCTCATCGCTCCCGAGAGATCGTAGTATTTTAGATAATCAACAGCCAACGTACCGGCCGGAACTCCTCGGAGCATCTTCCTTCGGCACTCCAAAGATCCGTCTCCACCCTTCGGGGTTCAACGGATATGAGCATC